GGTTATATGTGTTAAACGGCATCAAAGCGTGACTGCAGCTGCTAAAACCCAAACCATTTCAGTTCACACTTGTGTAATATATTCTGATGTGAACTGAAAATGGTTTAAAACAGTATGGGAATCATGTTAAAGCGAGTAACCTAATGCAAAAGTAATGAACGTTTTACTTGGGAATAAAACAGATTTTCAACACATTTGCAAATACAATTGAGGAGTGTTAACCATCTGTCTGAATTTACCCTAGTTTATCATGGGTGGAACCAGTGATGGTTTTACACCCCCACACACACACACACACACACACAGTTGTCTGCCATTTAAGCCATCTATTGTCGGGGTCACAACAGCTTGTATATCACTTAGACCTTCAAAGAAGCCTGACATTAATAGGCTCACCTTTTGACCTCAAAGTGAATGACTGAATTCCTGTCGTTGCACATAAAGAAAAGCGTAAAGCCAGTTGACGTGAAAGAGAGCCGAGGTTTTGCAGCAAACAATGTATATTTCCCCTTGCTGAACTCTTTTACGAATTTGTAATCTTCCTCGTGCACATCCGTGAAAGACCCCGGGCGATCTGATATTGCTCATCGCAACAATTTAGAGAGTGTTGGCAAAACTCACAAATTAAAAATGCCACTCGGTTATGGCTTTCACAGTCAATGGGATAATCAAAACATGCAAGGGGGGGAATATCACAAGATGTTCTTCTCCTCTCTCTTGATTGAACCACTTCAAACGAAATTCAAACATGATTCCTCCAGCCAAGAAAATAATCCTGATCTTTTACATGAACCACAGGATCATCTCTACACAAATCAGGCAAGACTTTGTGATCAAAGAGCAGAACGCACAGAATCAGCTGTCATGCTCTGTGGAAAGGAGACTCATGGGTAACAAGGCCAACCGGGTATTTGTTCCATTCTGTGACATTCTGGTTTGTAAAATATTAAAGTCAACCTAAAATCAGAATGGACCCTATTTACTTTTTTAACATTACATCACATTATTTCAATGAAAAGAAAAATAAAGAAATTACTGTTCTTTTTGACTGACATTACAAATTTGTCTAAAAAAAGAAAAGAAAATTTAATCAGTTCTTGATCAGCAATTCACCAACTGATTGATGTTGAAAACTGCCATTTGTATTTGCATCAATCATTAAGTGAATTTCATGAAAATAAAAATGCACTGGCATGTATATTGTACATATTTTATATATACATTTAACTGATAAACCACCTTTCATATTGTACATGCAATAGCTGAAAGTGCTTTACAAAAAGCATTTTTGGCATTCAGCCATTTTTCTACCCTCGGATTAACTCGACTGATTGCGACACGCACTCACAAACCACTTTCCTGGGTATTTCACCTTGAACCAGCCCTCTTAGTAAAATTGATGTTTGTGGTGGGTTCAAATAATTAAGGTATAGATCAGAGCTCCTCCGTGAAGTGCTCCTTAAATCGGGCCAAACCATGATGAATGCCTATATCTGAAGCGCTAAAAAGTTTTCCATTCTGTAAATAGAAAAAGTATTGCTAAAAAGGTATCACAGGAGGAAATGATGATTTACGAATCAATGATGGTTCACCAAACACTGGAGGTTAGAAGGAATTATCCGTATGGCAGCTGTTTTACTCTAAATGGAGAGCTGTAAGTTATGTAATCACTATCAAAGGCAGAGTCCATTCCATTACTCTTCTCTTCCAACTTTTTTGCTTTGTTGAATGAATTTTAGCCACAAAGAAGATTTAGATGTGTTTCCTTGAAGAGAACCATCACGTTAAAGTGGAAGAGCCCTATAAACGAAGTAAAATGGACAGTTCACCCAAAATCATTTACTCACCATCATGTCATTCCAAACCTCCATGACTTGCATGTGGAACACAAAGAAAGTAAGCCGTACATCTTCGGAAAAGCACAAGGATCAGTAAATCATGACAGGATCGTCATTTTTTGGGTGAACAGTCCTTTTAAAAAAGACTTGCGAGTTCATAAAGCGTCAATCTATTGATTGATCTGGCCTAGTGCTGAGCCATTTCAGACATTATCAATAGATCAGCACACCCGATTGATTACTCAGGCTGCATTACAACCAACAGGATGCAAATTGCCCTATTAATAGATTAGTCTGGCGGGTTACAACTTGGCAAAAAAGGGGGCGTGAATCTCAAAGCAGATAACATTATAAATTACGACACGTCTGACCATGCTTTTCAATGGAAGAGCCTTGGGCATCGAATCACAGCAAGCAGAACTGCATCCACATAATTCATTACGCTTCATTATTTTACTCGACTTTGAAGCAGCGTTAAGCATTCAGCTGTATGTGTAGCTGCACGTGTTTGCAAACGCAGACGAGGGCAGCCCTGCTAGCTCTGACATGTACATACACGTAGAGTTGATTTATGCTGAGTGATTGCTTTGTTTCAGAAGGAGAAACAATAACCAGATGTCTTCTAAGACCCCCATTCCAGCTGTTAATTGCATGGCAAGTGTCTAGTAAACACTGCACAGAGGCGAACAAAGAGGGATGTGTTCAGTACGCCCGGGTTGTGTATATCATTTAGATTTGCAAGGTGTCTTGTCAACAGGGCATGCTTGGGTTTGTTTGCTCAAGGATCTTGTCTGAACGGATCTTTGCAACTTTTTGTATGCTCCCATTTATTGCCCTGGGATTTTATTCTGTACGACTTTGAAGTCTTAAATTATAGCCTGGGAAGAAATTAATAGTTCTATGCATGTCATTAATGTCAATATTTTGCTCTGTTAGGTTAACAGTCATTGCTAATGGTGGGAAACGCAAGCCAAAGAATTCTTTCGGAAGTCATCCCTTACCCACAGGAACAAATGCTCAAATTTGCTGACTCTTTTAATACTGTGTGCAACCATCGACAATTCCGCATGGGCAGAATTCCACATCTAGATCCTGCATCATCTTCTCATGCAATTTTAGATCACATGACAAAAGTCTACAGGAACTGAATCTGAAAGCAGCCTTAGAGACGCACAAACATTTGGCCACCGTGTGGTTCTGTTTCTGGAGTCACGCCAAAGGCAACATGTTCAAGCTAAGATATTTGCAACTGTACAAGGTGCCATATATTACACAAAGCTTAGCGATAAAATCATCTCTTTATGGTAAGGGCGAGGAATTCAGTGAGCCTTGCACAGCTTTTTAGCAAAGCATTCTATCACTACAAAGAGCAGCAGTACACTGAGAAGCAACATTTCATTGCTTATGAATGTTTCAATCAAGTCTCAGGCTTGTCTTCATCAATTAAGAGTGAAAAAGGGAGATGATACAGGGAAGATTCACCAAGTGAAAGGAGGTTCAAGGGTTATAACATAAGCCTTTCACACAGCTGACCCCAAACAGCTGTTTTGACTGGCTTAGCTTCTTCTATAGAGCCTCTGGGGGCAGGCCAAAGATGCGCTTTAAGACCAGCCAATACATCAGACGGTTTGTTTACAACATCAGAGGTCAGCAGTGAAGTATTGATTGGAAAATATACTCTCAAGAGCAGTTTATTAAAAGACACCTAACACTAGTCAGGGACTCAGGGGAACGCACATGAATTTAATAATCTTGCAGATAAAGGAACAGGATGATTTTAAAAAGGGAACTGTGTGTTTCAATCAGGTTTTTGTGTCACTCCATGTGATGCATTTGTTTCACAGGAAAGAAAATGCAGGTAGAGGGGATGAATGAGGGAGAGCAGCTTCTCTGATCTTCATAGAGGAGTCACACATATATCAATCACAGACACATATATCAATCACAGACAAAGCAAGTGCTTTAATCTGACATTCAAGTGAAAGCTCACTAATTGCAACCAATTCTTGACTAGAACATTAGCTGCAGTAACAATATGAACCATATTAATTGCCAGCACTAATTGGTTATTACTAAAAAAAATGAAAAATAGAATGTTAATAACTAGAATGTTGAGTCATTGAGTCAAAAAATGTGTCAAATGCAGCTATATGCATCCCAAATGTTAAAATATTTTTTTTGTTTGCAACTTGACAATGATTTCTGTCATTTCTATTCAATTTTTAACTTGAGTTTAAAAAAAGTTAAATTGGTCGCTTTTTTTCAGTGTTAGACCAATGACGACAAATAAAGGTGATTTAAATATAATAATACCCCCAAATATTAATAATATCCATTTACTACCTATATAAGAAATAATAATAAAACATTATGCCAAAGTTTATTTTTATAGTTTACAGACACCAAGAGGTGCATTCAAGTCATTTTTTGTATGAACTGCATTTCTTGAAGTATTTTTAATGTCTTGAAAAAAGAACAATTCTAGACAATAAATAAATAACCATCACATCAGTGCTGACCCATGATATATATTTTCATTTGTTCAGGTATTTATTTATTTATTCTCAAATAGTAAACACCTGACACAAAATGTTTAATATAATAATAAATGCAGCAGGTATTTCATTATCAATTTGTATGATTCATCTCTACGGGTGACATGATCCGTCTCCATCCACTCATTTGACATCTGGCGTCAAATGATACAGACACAGACAGACAGACAGACAGACATATGGTAGACAGATAGATAGACAGATAGATAGATAGATAGATAGATAGATAGATAGATAAATAATCAATTTTATATGTAAACATGGATATCATTTATTTCTTGAAAACTAATTTACTCATCGTTCTCTTCCCTTATAAGATATTACCTGAGCTCTCCAATAACTCACAACTAACAAGCAGCACACATATTCTAGCGCAGCATCACTATCGCCATCTGCCTGCATCTTATGCTTTCACGTGTTCACTTCGAGTTCATTTATCTTAATTATGGCAACGCTGTAGCCTATCATCAGAGGGTTTAGTTTAACTTTACACAGTTATGAACCATGCATAGATCTGTTGAGTTTTTTAGAGCCGCCTGATCTGACGAATGAGAAAAAGCGCATATTTGACTAAAGGAACATCCTTCAATTGAGCTCATGGACTTACCTGGAGCGTTTAACGCGACCAGCAGGACTATCCAAAAAGTCGCCAACATCACCATCTCGCTTCACGCCTTGCGCCAAATATCCGATCTGATATCGCGATCTGCAAAGAGCGATCCGGTGATTTATGCAACTTCAACACACTCCACCTCTGTCCACCCTTCACTATATGACAGAAAGTCAGCTGTTACTAAAACTGCATTCAGTGCAACGTCTGCAGAAGAGTTTAGTACAGCCAGGAATCGAGATCAAATCCAAAAACCGAATAAGATGCTCATCGACTCTCTGGTTCTGCAGATGAAAAGTCCGCTCGACGAGGCGGATAAGAAGCAGATCAATTCAGGGATCCCGCATCCCAAGCGTTGAATCCAGTGCGGCTGTTCAACTCCCTCAAAACAAAAGCTTAATAACAGTGCCCGGAATAACGGGGCGTTTAATGCATCTGATCCGTTTGCTCCACAATACAAGTATGTATAATAAGATTCTCTGTACTTGTTTGCGCAGTAGTAACCAGAATATGTCCTAGAAGTCCCAACGGTCCCGGTCTGTTCCCTCAATTTGGGAGTCTCGGGATTATCAGATTATTTTTGTTGGGTGCTGAAGATGTTTCAGCGGACGTGAAATCCGTTCCGAGTAATTTTTTTTCCCCCGAGAAAATGGACTGATTCTCCAGAATATGGCAACAATGCCGTGGTTTGGCGCACTTCGGGCACTGCTGCCACAACCTGAACTGTTCTAGTGTAGCTGATACAAGCGCGAGGAGAGATCCGAATCAGGGTGACGTTAGAAAAGGGCGGGGCTTCCACGATCTTGAAACGCGAGTAGGAGGATTTAGTCCATTGTTGCCATGTCCGCTTATAATAAGCGGCTCTGTGCTTGTTTTAGCTTGTAAGTATGGTAAACTGCAGTATTTGTGGATTATTTCCAGAACACACGTTCCTGAGGTTTGCTGGTACACTAATAGCAGCTGTCAAATACCCACTGACTGTTTTAGTCACAGTCTAAAACCCACATTTTAAGGGTGTTCACACTGACAGTGATTTGCAGAGAGACCAAACAACTTACTGGACATCATTCATATTCAGTGAGAGTTGGCGATTTCCGGTGATGCGACTGACAGGGACCATAGCACACAAGCACAACTGTATGTAAATAGCAACAACAAGATACTAATACCAGTAATGGCGCTTTTCCACTGCGTGGTACGACTCGGCTCGGCACGGCTCAGTACGGTACGGCACGGCTTTGCGTTTCCACTGCAGTTTAGTATCGCTTTAGAGTGGGCGGGATTATTCACATGTCGTTATAGTTGCGCCGCCTCTACTACCACGACTCCTAAAAAAAACGTTTCATTCCGCGTCGCCCCATCAAGCTCTAGCTGGATCCGCTCCTCTGCTATCAACGAGAGGAACATCTGTTCTTCCGCAACAGACAACAACACTTTTTGGTTGTTAAAAAAAGGTGCTCTCGTTCAAAACAGTTGCATTCGATCCTTCGCTGGCTATGCTGATTTAAATCTTCTTCTTCTTCTTCTTAAAAAAGGTGCGCTCGTTCAAAACAGTTGCGTTTGATCCTTCGCTGGCTGTGCTGATTTAAATCTAGCGGTTCTTTAGTGTTTGTGTCGCAAGTTCAGTGACGCAGGTAGTGACGATTCTCTCCGGCCAATCCGTGATCAGCAGAGTTTACACGTCACGTTTTGGTAACGGTACGGTTCACTTGGAACCCCAACCGAGGTGGTACTAAAAAAAGTACCAGGTACCAGGTACTGTACCCAGTGGAAAACCCCCAAAAAGTGAACCGTACCGTGCCGTACCATGCAGTGGAAAAGTGCCATAAGAGTGCAGTGGCCCAATGTCTGATACAGGATTGCATGGCAGAGCAGAAAGGCCTACTAGAAACTCTCTCTTTTACAAATGTAAAAATTATTTTATGTAATACAATAAGTAAAAAATAAATAAATAAAGCAATTTTCGTTGATCCATAATATATATTAAAAAAAATAATAATAATAAAACAAACTGTCAGCTCAGGTGTCTGTTTCCTGAGTGAGATCTGGCAACACTAATTTAGTCGCCATTGCGCAAAGTTAACTCCGAGGGGAGGATTAAATTCGCAGGCAAGATGAAAAATATATGCGTAAATAGATTTTCTGCTGATAAACCGGAAGATATCAACATGATATTATTATTTGTGCGGTAAAAGGCTGATAAGAACAACTTTTTTTATCCCCCAGCTGCCTATTTTATTCTACCTTCTATTTAATTTGCTTACAACTCAAACAGTAACACTAAAGAATAGTCAACTTTAGGATGCGCTGCGGTCATAACGCTGAGGTTTGCAGTCAGCGCTTTGCTCACCGTATAAGTTAATATTACATCTACCTTCATCATTTGTGGTAACTCTTTCCATTTCATACATTGATTTCAGGTTGGACAGTCAGTGTGACAGAATATGGGGTGATTGAGGAGGTGGAAGTAGTAAAACACTTCCCTCTGCTGGTCACCCTCTCACGAGTTCCTCTGGGTAACCCAGACTGAGCATTAGACAGCAGAGTGGGAGTTTACCGTTACCGAACCTTTACAGAACTACAGCATCAGTTTACCTCAGGTGAGGGCAAGAAACTTCTCATTGAAATCTATCATTGTTGCCAGATCTCGCAAGAAAATAAACAACCTGGTCTGAAAGGACCACAATAAGCACGTAGCACATACATACAAAAAACAAAAAAAAACTAAACTAAACCTTAATATCAGAAATATATAATTAAGTATATTTTATTAATATATAT